GAGAGAGAAAACTACCATACCCATGTAAGAGGGGGAGGGAGGGAGAAACCGGGTGTAAGGAACAATACTTTCCAAAGGAAAAAACGTGACAAATGCCGGAACCCGGCACACCCCCCAGTCGGACCCACTTACCCTTCCCAAAGACATCGGTCTTCGAGCGTCGAAACCTAAATGAAATTCAATCCGCTGCGCAAGTAACATCCCCAAATAGCACCCCCCCACCTGCTGACGACTGGGGCACACAGTCACATGGTATCAAAGAATGCCAGGGAAAAAGCCAAACGAAAGAGACGGGCCTCGAACTCTGAATGGCAAACCCTATGTAAGGCATCACACAGATTAGCCAATAGAGCACCTGAAATGGGACGCCTCGAGTCCAGTGAGGACACCCCCTGCCTCAAACCTTTTAGGGCCTGGCGCACAATAAACACTTTGGTAGCGTCTTCCCAAATTGCTACCTAAGTTGCCGGCCACCATCCAGCGCTGCAGCAGCCCTGAGGGACGCCAAGATCGCCTCAACATCTATCCCTCAAGCTGGTAAAACCTACAGGCCCAAGACATACAGGAGCAGGAGGACAGGAAGCTGTTTGCTGGCTCGAATCCTAAGACCACCCCCCACTAACTCACACAGCACATAATCCCACCCATACATTCATACCCAACCAATCTCACGCATCTATCCCCACACTTATACATGTGCCCTTGTCTGCTTAGCTGCACTATCTCCCCAGGGCCTTTACTGCTGGCTCTTTCCCCTTTACTGCTGGCTCCTTCCCCTTTACTGCTGGCTCTTTCCCCTTTACTGCTGGCTCCTTCCCTTTATTGCTGGCTCCTTCCCTTTACTGCTGGCTCTTTCCCGTTACTGCTGGCTCTTTCCCCTTACTGCTGGCTCTTTCCCGTTATTGCTGGCTCCTTCCCTTTACTGCTGGCTCCTACCCTTTACTGCTGGCTCCTACCCTTTACTGCTGGCTCCATCCCTTTACTGCTGGCTCCTTCCCTTTACTGCTGGCTCCTTCCTTTAATGCTGGCTCCTTCCCTTTACTGCTGGCTCCTTCCCTTTTACTGCTGGCTCCTTCCCTTTTACTGCTGGCTCCTTCCCTTTTACTGCTGGCTCCTTCCCCTTACTGCTGGCTCCTTCCCTTTACTGCTGGCTCTTTCCCCTTACTGCTGGCTCTTTCCCCTTACTGCTGGCTCCTTCCCCTTACTGCTACTACGTCCTTCCACGGGGTGCGAACTACTGATTATTGAGAATTTATAGCATCTATTTGCTTATCAAAGGACTGTTTTTGAATAAGCTAGCCTATTTTTTCAGATATTCATTCTTTGTTTTTGTTTTTGGAACATACAAACAGCATATAACATAAGACTCACTTGTGCTAGCTGACAATATTGCTGATTCAGTACCATCAATTTTTCAACACCTGTTTCGGCATAGAACCTGTCTCCACCCCACAGATACTACATAGAACCTGTCTCCACCCCACAGACACTACATAGAACCTGTCTCCACCCCACAGACACAAAACAGAACCACAGATACTACATATGAACTGTCTCCAACCCACAGATACTACATAGAACCTGTCTCCACCTGCAAACACTACAGAGAACCTCTGTCCACCCCACAGACACTACGTAGAACCTCTCTCCACCCCAAAGACACAATCTCCACCCACAGGTAACATTTTTGAAACAGCCTGTGTTTTAGGTAAAATGCGTTAAGTGTATTTTCATATTTTTTTATCTACTACAGCGCTACATAATGTGATGGCACTATATAAATAATAAAATAATACTATTTTTATCTTGCTATTGTTTTTATTGTTTGTGACGGACCGCCTGGCACCCCGACTGGGTACTTTCGTCAGTCGATGCTCCTAGTGCTCCCCTTGGACTCCAAGCACTCCACCCAACACCATCAACACTGCAGTCCCCATGTCCAGAGATACAGCTTGGCTGGGAACTCGCTGTCCTCCACCCACCCTGCACCCAAGACCAGGATCCAGCTTCCAGTGGGTGAACCTCTACTTCTCCCAGGGGAGTATAGTGATATAGCAATCCCCAGGGTAGATACAGCATTTTCCCCAACACATGAGATGAAACTCTATGTTGAGGATAAAACAGGAACTCAATTTTAATGGAGGCACACTGGTCTTTCATACAAGTTTCCCAACAAGGGTGACACCCAGGTGGACTTTGTTGAGCACAAGGACACAAAGGGAATAAACCAATAAGAACAGTAATTAACTGTACGACACTCCCATAACACACATACAATCCCTCCCCTCTACCTGAGAGATAATTAAGGCAGATAATGCATTAAATTATTTATCTCCAAGCAGAAAAAACACATATTTTTACAAAGTCTAATAAGTACCCCAAAACATATCCCCATAAAAGTCACATCACAATGAACATCCAAAAATCAGAGCAGGGGTTCAGGAAATTCCTGGAAGTCTCTTTTTGACCGACCGCACGCATGGTTTTAAGCCCAAAACAGTTCCAGAGAATTAGGCTGTGCAGCCGGTCTATTTCAAACCGTCGAAGTACTGTTTGAATTACTGAACGTAATGGTGAATGAGCATAGTCAATGTGTGTCCCTTGTTGGTGGGCTTCGACTCACCGAACGCCGTTCGACTCCCGTTCCAATAGTCGAAGTTCCCTGGAAGGTAACTGTTCAGCGGTGTTCGTGCCGTTGCGTGTCCGATTTGAGTTCCATGAACTCGATGACAAAACACAGCTGAACACGTTCGACCAAATAAGATGGCCACCGTCAAGTGTTCGAATGTCGAATGGAGGCCACTTCGACACTTCGAAAGTTCGACTCTGTTCCAGTTAGAAGTCCAAGAGGCAGAAACAGTAACTTTAACCCCCAGTTCACTACAGGGCCATACTCACAGGGTAGGAGGCTGGCAAACAGTCCCTCCAAAAACCAGTGGCGAGGTCACTTCGCCACATTGTTTTTTTTTAACATTAAAGTACTTTTTTATTGGACATGTTACTGCTGCTGCTGGAGCTTTTGGGCTATATCCTTGGTGGGGATAATACCACCTAAGCGTTTTGGATTGAGCAAACCGCATTTTGCTCTTATGCATGTTATCTTTTTTACTGTGTTTTGCACTCCATATTATGGTGTACACTATTGTGGTTTTATTTGTCTCTTCCTATATACAGGGAGTGCAGAATTATTAGGCAAATGAGTATTTTGACCACATCATCCTCTTTATGCATGTTGTCTTACTCCAAGCTGTATAGGCTCGAAAGCCTACTACCAATTAAGCATATTAGGTGATGTGCATCTCTGTAATGAGAAGGGTGTGGTCTAATGACATCAACACCCTATATCAGGTGTGCATAATTATTAGGCAACTTCCTTTCCTTTGGCAAAATGGGTCAAAAGAAGGACTTGACAGGCTCAGAAAAGTCAAAAATAGTGAGATATCTTGCAGAGGGATGCAGCACTCTTAAAATTGCAAAGCTTCTGAAGCGTGATCATCGAACAATCAAGCGTTTCATTCAAAATAGTCAACAGGGTCGCAAGAAGCGTGTGGAAAAACCAAGGCGCAAAATAACTGCCCATGAACTGAGAAAAGTCAAGCGTGCAGCTGCCACGATGCCACTTGCCACCAGTTTGGCCATATTTCAGAGCTGCAACATCACTGGAGTGCCCAAAAGCACAAGGTGTGCAATACTCAGAGACATGGCCAAGGTAAGAAAGGCTGAAAGACGACCACCACTGAACAAGACACACAAGCTGAAACGTCAAGACTGGGCCAAGAAATATCTCAAGACTGATTTTTCTAAGGTTTTATGGACTGATGAAATGAGAGTGAGTCTTGATGGGCCAGATGAATGGGCCTGTGGCTGGATTGGTAAAGGGCAGAGAGCTCCAGTCCGACTCAGACGCCAGCAAGCTGGAGGTGGAGTACTGGTTTGGGCTGGTATCATCAAAGATGAGCTTGTGGGGCCTTTTCGGGTTGAGGATGGAGTCAAGCTCAACTCCCAGTCCTACTGCCAGTTCCTGGAAGACACCTTCTTCAAGCAGTGGTACAGGAAGAAGTCTGCATCCTTCAAGAAAAACATGATTTTCATGCAGGACAATGCTCCATCACACGCGTCCAAGTACTCCACAGCGTGGCTGGCAAGAAAGGGTATAAAAGAAGAAAATCTAATGACATGGCCTCCTTGTTCACCTGATCTGAACCCCATTGAGAACCTGTGGTCCATCATCAAATGTGAGATTTACAAGGAGGGAAAACAGTACACCTCTCTGAACAGTGTCTGGGAGGCTGTGGTTGCTGCTGCACGCAATGTTGATGGTGAACAGATCAAAACACTGACAGAATCCATGGATGGCAGGCTTTTGAGTGTCCTTGCAAAGAAAGGTGGCTATATTGGTCACTGATTTGTTTTTGTTTTGTTTTTGAATGTCAGAAATGTATATTTGTGAATGTTGAGATGTTATATTGGTTTCACTGGTAATAATAAATAATTGAAATGGGTATATATTTGTTTTTGTTAAGTTGCCTAATAATTATGCACAGTAATAGTCACCTGCACACACAGATATCCCCCTAACATAGCTAAAACTAAAAACAAACTAAAAACTACTTCCAAAAATATTCAGCTTTAATATTAATGAGTTTTTGGGGTTCATTGAGAACATGGTTGTTGTTCAATAATAAAATTAATCCTCAAAAATACAACTTGCCTAATAATTCTGCACTCCCTGTATATATAAACACTAGTGGTGTCCCCCAATACCCACTAGTGTCCCCATGTCTCCCAGTTTCCATATGTCTCACACTGATCCCATGTCTCCAAGTGTCTGTAGGAGTCTGTGTCTCTGATTCCCCTGTGCCCCCTGTGTTCCTGGTTACAGACTGTCCTTCCATTTGCTCCCCCCCTTCCCTCACTTCCCTGAGCTGCTCTCTCGACTCTCCCTCACTTCCCTGAGCTGCTCTCTCGACTCTCCCTCACTTCCCTGAGCTGCTCTCTCGACGCATCAGCTAGTAGAGAGAGGCAGGGAGGGAGATGATGTAACTTCCTATCCCTGCATCTCTCCACACACACACAGCACCACCTGCTGGACAGTGCCGGTATTGCATCTAATCTCAGTTTATACTGGGAAAAATACTGGCATTTACTGACAGGCGGGCTCTAATACCAGCTGTAAAATACAGGTCAGGTGGCAACCCTACGGAGCCCACATGCAGACCAGTGCCTACCGGCAAGTTCCGGAACTAGCAACAGCAGTAAGCTCATGCTGTGATCTATGGCTCTTCTTGCTGGCCAGGTAAGTTGCTGAAGATAGACACTCCTTTTGCATTTGGAAGCGTCGTTGAAGGAGGAGAGCCAAAGCCTTGTTCCCACACGTAGGCCGCTACTGAAGTCTGCATCACAGAGCCACGGACTCGAGGGCTCACAGAGTCCAAGTCCACCTCATTGTGGGGAAGGCAGACGACCTTAATGTTTAAATGCTGCCGGTGGCGGGTGATCTTCAGCGTGCGTGGTAAAT